TTCCACTCCTTCTCGTGCGTGGCCACTTTGACGTCGTCCATCACCAGGGGCACCCACCCCCCAAAAACGTACATCCTGAAAAAGGGGAGGGGTCCAGGGGGTCAGGGGGCACCCAGAGACCCCCACCGCAAAAAAAAAACCATCTTGGGGGGGGGTTATGGGGATTAAAAGGGGCACGGAGACCCCCGGACCCCCCCAAAATGTCCATTCTGGGAGGGGTCAAAGGTCAAGGGGGCACCCAGAGACCCCCATCCCCCAAAAAAATCCATCTGGGAGGGTGTGGAGACCCCCACCCCACAAAATTTGCATTTTTTTTGGCGGGGATCACAATCACAACTGGATTAATTAACAAATCAAAATAAATTACAATAAATTAAAATAAAGTAAGTTAAAGTATGTCAAAAAACAAATAACAACAAACAAAAAATTTAAGTGGATCACAATCAAATAAGTTGAAAAAAATCATAATAAATTCAAAAAATTATATTAAAACAAGTTAAATTAAAACAAACTGCAACAAATACAAAAAATTAAATTAAACTAAATTAAAATAAATTAAAATAAACCACAATTGAGGGGGGGGGGTCACCCCCAGACTCACTTGTTGCCGATGGTGGTGGCCGAGTGGAGGCTGCGGGGGAGGGGAGCGACCCCACTCAGGCTCGGCTTGTTCCAGGTCAGCGTCTCTGAGGGACCCCAAAATGTGAGAAATTACCCCAAAATGGCAGGAAATGACCCCAAAATGTGAGGAAACGGCCCCAAAATCACCCAGAATGTGATAAAACGGACCCAGAAACACCCAGAATGTCAGGAAATGGACGAAAAACATAAAGAAACAGCCCCAAAATTGTCCAGAATGTGAGCAAACAGCCCCAAAATCACAACAAATGTGAAGAAACAGCCCCAAAATATCAGGAAACAGCCCTAAAACAGCAGGAAATGACCCCAAACCGTCAGGAAATGGCCCCAAAATGTGAGAAAACAGTCCCAAAATCACCCAGAACGTGAAAAAATGGCCTCAAAACACGGAAAGAATTCCCCAAAATGACCTCACAACACCTCTGGAAATGACCTCAGAAAACCCCACAAAATTCCAGAAAAATCCTATGAAAACCCTACAAAACCCCAAATAAACCCCGTACCGATGTCCAGTGTCCACAGATCCCCCAGCCTGCAGCTGCTCATGCCCCCATAGATGACCAGTAACCTCCACTCCCCCGACCCCAAATCCAATAAAACCCTATAAAATTCCACAAAACCTGCTAAAATCCCTACTAAACCCCATAATAACCCTATTAAACCCTATAAAAACCCCGTACCAATGTCCAGTGTCCACAGATCCCCCAGCCTGCAGCTGCTCATGCCCCCATAGATGACCAGTGACCTCCAGTAACCTCCATTCTCCCGACCCCAAATCCCATAAAACCCTATAAAAAACCTACAAAACACTATAAAAACCCTGTAAAATCCCATAAATCCCCTATACCAATGTGCAGTGTCCATAAATCCCCCGGCCTGCAGCCGCTCATGCCCCCATAGATGACCAGTGACCCCCAGTAACCTCCATTCCCCTGACCCCAAATCCCATAAAACCCTATAAAATTCCACAAAATCTGACAAAATCCCAAATAAGCCAAATAATAACCCTATTAAACCCTATAAAAACCCCATACCAATGTCCAGTGTCCATAGATCCCCCAGCCTGCAGCCGCTCATGCCCCCGTAGATGACCAGCCGGGATCTCCTCCCGTCCCGTTCCGTGTACACCACGGCCGTGTGGGATTGCCCCGACCCCAAACCCCATAAAACCCCAAATAAACCCCATAAAACCCCAAATAAACCCTATAAAACCCCAAATAAACCCCATACCGATATCGAGGGTCCATAAATCGCCCAGCCTGCAGCCGCTCATGCCCCCGTAGATGACCAGCCGGGATCTCCTCCCGTCCCGCTCCGTGTACACCACGGCCGTGTGGGATTGCCCCGACCCCAAATGAACTCCAA